AGTGATCAATGCTCATACATAAAATAGCAGAAACACCGGTCCATCATCATTTCAAGCCAAACAGCCCTGTCCTGTTAGCCAGCAAAATCGCCAGCTTTTTTTCCCAATTAGAATTCTCGGCGCTGCTGATGCAGCTAGTCAAAAACTATGGATTTCCATTACATGTGAGTTTACCTACTTTAGTTTGCCTAAAAGACTACGCACTGCAAACACCAATCTGTACCAATTCAAGCGTGATCAGCAGGGATATGATGGAATATTCACTCAGAGCATTTGGAGACGGCAATAATCCGGAAATATTTACTTTAAAAAAATTTGAAAAATCGATAAGTTCCCATTTTAAACCAATGTAAGGGACCACTGACACGTTATAAGCACATTACTACTTCACTCTTTAGATGAGACTTAAGCCGGAACCATAACTGACTATTTTTTGGCTTAGCTATCAGTGGTTTCCTCTTCTCAATTGCTTGACAAGGCTTAAATCAGAAAAGTCACAAAATGGCAGATCGAAAGCTTTGAACTGAGGCTTGGAAAACGAACTGCGTTATATGTCCGTGCATCATCAGTGCACAACATGACAAACATAAATTTTAGTGAACCTTATGAAGGAGATGACAAAATTTCCAGGATATAATAGGATTTTTCTCGAGTTGAATGCGTGAAATACAGTTCCAGAAGATGGTACACGATTTCTCCTTATGCGTACCCATTATCACTTGTCGTGCATGTTTGTGCTTCAGTGGTACCTCATTCTTGTTCAGTGCTTTATGCACGGAAACAATCTGCAGAGCAAGAACAAATCGCTTCTTCACTGATAAAATCAATGTTCAATGAGCTACTCAAAAACACCACACACTTTAAAAGTGTATAATTTCAAACAGAAATTTTTCCAGAGCGAATTCCCTGGCAACATATTCTGGCAAGGGAGCAGTATTAATTGTAAATGGTAAAGGAATTTTTATGGCATTTTAGCTTTTGTCGGGAATGTTCCCCACCGTAGATTTTCGTTCTTCTACAGATCCACTAAAAACGGCTCACATCATCAGTATCAGAGCGCCGAACAGTTGAGGGGTACTAAAGGAGTGCTTAATGGAGACTATTCTGAATTAAAACATAGCAATGAGAAGACGCTTAATTACTTAAGGGCTGCATTTTTGCGCAAATATGTTTGTGGTCTGCCAATACAGTCAATATAGGTTTGCTTTGGACTTGGATTTTTGATAATTTGATGTAGAAAATACTCGAAATTTCACTGTATGAACTGAAATGCGCGAAAACGGTTCCGAGAGGAACGTGGTAAAATCTTTAAACAAATACGATACTACTGAGGATTTGGGCGTCGCTCTTGCAAACCTGCTGTTTGATGGATGTTTCGCGATCATCGCCCATAACCACCGATTTCAGCGACATGATGACGACGACGACGATAAAGCAGCACCTGACGACGACGATGTCGACGGGCCAAAATACAAACGCTCACTCACTCACTTCAGATATTCACAGTGACCTCGTCCTGAAAACAGAAAATTTTGCAATCTTTCGACCACCACCTTGTGCTATCACTCTATGGAAGCGCACAATAGTGGCACACCAGACCCAGTCCTGTGGATGCGAAAAGCACAGTGGATGAGGAAGAGTTGCCCGATGCAACCCATGCATCAACAGCTCCCCCCCCC